ATGTATAAAAATCTAGAATGAGTCCGGCGATGGACATTAATGCTGCTGTTTGTAAACTAGCCTGCCACACAAAGGAGTAGCTATCTGCATCAGTGAGGAGAGAATTCTCACCAATCAAATCACAGACTCTTGAAATAGTGAAATGTTAAATCTGTGGAAACTGTAATTGAGTCTGAACTCTGGTATTTTTTTTTCAATTAATATCATCATTGCAAAACAAAGCAGATAAAAATAATGATGATAAGAATGATAATTTACCATTGTAAGTGAGAGTTTTTAAAGTGCTTTCAGACGCATCAGTTTACTGGAATCTCCTAACAACTCTATGGACAGTACCTGCACTGTAAGCAGAAAATCTGGGCTGGAGTACTCTCTCTGAATCTCAGCTTTCTCATGTGAAAAAAAAGAATATTACTACTACCATCAGTAGTACCAGTATTACTGGTACTAGCACTACTACCATTACCCATCTCTAAGGACTGTTGTAAGGACTGTGGTATATAAACTTTAAAGCACTATACAAAATGTGAGTTTATCCCTATTTGTATCTTGCAAATGTGGAAACCCAGGTTCACAGAATTCAAGGTTACTTAAGGCTATACAGCTACTAACTGGCAGACTAGAACCCCTGTCTTTTTTGGGTTTTTTTGGACATTCATTCATTCATTCATTCTTTCAGTTATTTATTTATTTATTTATTTTTAGTTTTGGACATTCACTTCCAGAAGATTTTGAGTTCCAAAATTTCTCCCCATCTCATCCCTCCCCCCACCCTAAGATGGCATGCATTCTGAATACTCCTTCCCCTAATCTGCCCTCCCCTCTATCTCCACCCCTCTCTTATGCCCTTCCCCTTCTATTTTCTTGTAGAGTAGGATAGATTTCTATACCCCATTGCCTATATATCTTATTTCCCAGTTACACGTGAAAACAGTTTTTAACATTTGTTTTTAAAATTTTGGGTTGCAAAATTTTCTCCCTTCCTCCCACTGAATCCACCCTCATTGAGAAGGCAAGCAACTCGATACAGTTTATACATGTGTAGTCATGCAAAACACTTCTATAGTAGTCATGCTGTGGAACACTAACCATATTTCCCTTCATCCTAATCCGCCCCCTGTTTATTCTATTCTCTCTTTTTACCCTGTCCCTCCTCAAAAGTGCTGGCTTCTAATTACCCCCTCCCACAATCTGACCTCCCCTTTATCATCCCTCTGCTCTCTTATCCCCTTTCCCCCTATTTTCCTGTAGGGGAAGATAGATTTCCATACCCAATTGAGTGTGTATAGTATTCCTTCCTTAAGCCAAATCCAATGAGAATAAAATTTACTCATTCCCTCTCACCTTCTCCCACTTCCCCTCCACTGTAAAAGTCTTTTCTTGTCTATTTTATGTGAGATAATTTACCCCATTCTACCTCTCCCTTTCTCCCAGTATAATCCTCTCTCACGCCTTAACTTTATTCTCCAGATATCATCCCTTCATCTTCAACTCACTCTGTGACCTCTATCCATCCATCCATCTATCTATCTATCTGTCTACATATAATTTTTTCCCTCCAACTACCCTAATGTTGACAAAGATCTCATGAGTTACAAATATCTTTCCATGAGGAATATAAACAGTTCAACCTTAATAAGTCCCTTATGATTTCTCTTTCCTGTTTACCTCTTCATGCTTCTCTTGAATCTTGTATTTGAAAGTCAAATTTTCTATTCAGCTCTGGTCTTTTCATCAAGAATGCTTGAAAGTCCTCTATTTCACTGAATGACCATTTTTTTCCCCTGAAGGATTATATTCAGTTTTGCTGGGTAGGTGATTCTTGGCTGTAATCCTACCTCCTTTGCCCTCCAGAATATTATATTCCAAGCCCTGTGGTCCCTTAATGTAGAAGTTGCTAACTCTTGTGTTATCCTGATTGTGTTTCCACAATACTTGAATTGTTTCTTTCTGGCTGCTTGCAATATTTTCTCCTTGACCTGGGAACTCTGGAATTTGGCTACAATATTCCTAGGAGTTTTCCTTTGGGGATCTCTTTCAGGAGGCGATCAGTGGATTCTTTCCATTTCTATTTTACCCTCTGCTTCTAGAATATCAGGGCAGTTTTCCTTGATAATTTCTTGAAAGATGCTGTCTAGGCTCTTTTTTTGATCATGGCTTTCAGATAGTCCAATAATTTTTCAATTATCTCTCCTGGATCTATTTTCCAGGTCAATTGTTTTTCCAATGAGATATTTCACATTGTCTTCTTTTTCTTTCATTCTTTTGGTTTTGTTACACAATGTCTCGATTTTCATAAAGTCACTAGCTTCCAATTGTTACCTTCTAATTTTTAAGGAAGTATTTTCTTCAGTGAGTTTTTGGATTTCCTTTTCCATCTGGTTAATTCTGCTTTTTAAAGCATTCTTCTCCTCATTGGCTTTTTGGGCCTCTTTTGTCATTTGGGTTAGGCTATTTTTTAAGGTGTTATTTTCTTCAGTAAATTTTTTTTTGGGGTCTCCTTTAGCAAGCTGTTGGATTTGTTTTTCATGATTTTCTTGCATCACTCTCATTTCTCTTCCTAGTTTTTCCTCTACTTCTCTTACTTGCTTCTCAAAATCCTTTTTGAGCTCTTCCATGGCCTAGGACTGATTCACATTTTTCTTGGAGGCTTTGGATGTAGGAGCTTTGACTTTGTTGTCTTCTTCTGGTTGCATGTTTTGATCTTCTTTGTCACCAAAGAAAGATTCTGACTATTTTTGCTCAGTTTGCCCATGTTCCCAGTCAATTACTTGAGTTTTAAACTCTTTGTTAAGGTAGGGGTCTGCTTCCAGTGTAGAGAATGTTCCATCCCAAGCTTCGGGGGTTTTGTGCAGTTGTTTTCAGAAATACTTCTAGGGACCTGTAAATTTTCAGTTCTTCCATGGTGGTATGATCAAGGGTGAGGTGTTTACTCCTTTCGCAGCTTGTGCTCTGGTCTATGAGTGACCACAAGCACTCTTTTCTGCCTTGGAACTGTGAGGAGGATTCCCTCTCCACTGCCACTACAAGCTCCACCACACCAGCTCTCCTCCTCATCCCAGGTCCGCCACCCAGAACTGTGACCCAGATCCAAGCACAGTCAAAGCAAGAGAATCCTGCCTCAGCACCAGCAAAGAGATCCCTGCAATCCCCCTCTCATCAGTCACTTGATTCCCCCTCAGTCAGTGGTACAGGAGCCCCAGAAGCAGCTGCTGCCCCAGGGCTGCACTGGGACTGGGGCTGGGACCAACCTTCTCTTTCACCCCAGTCACAGACCTTTCCTACTGACCTTCTAAGTTGTCTTTAGCTTTTGTGGGTTGAGAAGTCTGGAAGCCACCACAGCTGCCAGTGATTCGGTCCTCTAAGGCCTGCTCCAGGTTCTCTGAGTCCTGGTCTTTGCCTGAGTGCCCACACTAAACCGTGTTCCTCTTCCAGCCCGGCATGACAGACCTTTCCAATCAACCATCCAGGTTGTCTTGGGCTGCAAATTTGTTTCACTCTGTCTTTCTGTGGGTTCTGCTGCTCTAGAATTTGTTTAGAGATATTTTAAGAGATATTTGGAGGAGTTTGGGGGAGAGCTCAAGCAAGTCACTGCTTTCACTCTGCCGTCTTTGGTGCTGATCTAGAACCCAAGTCTTCTGACACCTGGCTCTATGCTTGTTTCATGAGACTAGGAGAGACATCAATGAGGGATACACCAGGTCTGGTACCACGGAAAAGAGTCCTAAGAACTTCCTATTGAAATAAACCTAGCTATAATAAATTAAGATCTTAACTGAATTCCTACGTGTCTGAAATAAGATGGCTTCACAAACAGGTTCCCAAATCACTTCATTTATTGTTGTTGTTATTGTTGCTGTTGTTGTTATAGTTAGCATTTTTATACTGCCTATTATGCGTCAGGCACTATGCTAAGTGCCTTTACAAACATTATCTCATTTGACCCACACAACAAGCCTGGGAAATAGGTGCTATTATTATTCCATTTTATAACTGAGGAAATTGAGGCAAATAGAGGCTAAATGACTTGCCCAAGGTCACATAGCTACCAGATTTGAACTCAGATTTTCTTGACTCCAGGCCCAGCATTTTCTCTATTGTGCCACATGGCTTTTCCATCTCAAAATTTCCTCTTCTGACTAGCTACCTACAAACAATGTTATGAAAGAATACCTACTATTCTAATTATAAAAGAATTAGGTTTCTAAGGTTCTGGTCCTTGGGAAAATCCATCCCTCAAACTAAATTCCTTTGAGTCAAATCACAAAACTGAAAGAAATATTTGGACACCTATGAATTCCTGAATACTAAAAAATCTTGCAATTTTCATAGATTTAATAGCATAAATACAAGTTATTAGTGTCATGTTGGTACTGATTTAGTTGAACACCTAATACTCTTGGCTGTATACCATAAGTATAAAGATTGCTGTATTTACACTCCAGTTAGAACTGAGAGCCTTAAAAAACAAAAACTTGACCTTTGCTCATCACACCAGCATTGTATCAGTCTATTGATGACTACTTGGTATTAGACAACATGGCATGCTTGTGTGTCTTCTGTAAAAATGCATTTCATAAAAAAAACCTGAGAATGTGGTATTATTTTATATTATTTTCATTGCTATCATGATCAGAAAGCTATTATTATTAAGTACTTTTCATAGAGAATACTAATAGGCAGTGATTTAGAGCTATTTCATAATTTACTGATAATTAAAGCATCAAGGACTTGTAAATATCTAGTATCAAGAATGTTCAACTGTCGAGAATTAAAATAATAGCAGGGATAAAGGTGATAAGATTTGAAAAAGAAGAGAGAAAAAAAACCAATGTACAATGAAATACAACAAAATGTACACACAGCCATAACTGCTTATAATGTAAAAAATTAAAATTTACTCCTCACAATATGTACTTAACAATTATGAGCCTTTTCAAAGCAAAACTTTGTTATATCAGTCTTTGAAATCTTAGGTCTTGTGCAGGTTATGAACTTACCAGGATTCTACGTTAGGATATGAAGTAATTTCTTCTGGAAGGAAAAATCTGTGCCATTTTGCAGACTGAATTATCTCTTGGGGCATCCTTTTTGACATATCATAATAGTGACCAAATCTTGAAGATGATCCTGGACCAGTCTGATGAGAAAGACTACATGTCATTTTAAATAGTATTTTTTTTTTTTCCAATTACATGTAAGGATGATTTCAACATTCATTTTTTATAAGATTTTGAGTTCTAAATTTTCTCCTTCCATCCCTCCCTCCCTCCCTCCCAAGATGGCAAGCAATCTAATATAGTTTATACACAATTATGTTAAACATATTTCCACATTGGTCATGTTATGAAAGAAGAAACAGAGCAAAAGGAAAAAAAAAACACCAAAAAATAAAGAAAATGAAAACAGCATGCTTCGATCTGAATTCAGACTCCATCAGTTCTTTCTCTGGATGTGGATAGCATTTTCCACCATGAGTCTTTTGTAACTGTCTTAGATCACTGTATTGTTGAGAAGAGTTAAGACAATCATAGTTTATCATTGCACAATGTTGCCGTTACCGTGTACAATGTTCTCCTGGTTCTTCTCACTTCACTCAGCATCAGTTCATGTAAGTCTTTTCAGATTTTTTTGAAATCAGCCTGCTCATCATTTCTAATAGCACAGTAATATTTCATTACACTCATATACCACAACTTGTTCAGCCATTACCCAACTGATGGGCATCTCCTCAATTCATGTGTCATTTTAGGATAGTTTCTTTTATAAGTCTTAGCAGTCGCATTAATTTGCTAATCAAACGATCAATAAACATTTATTAAGCACCTACTATGTGCCAGGCAATGAGCTTGCAAAAGTACAAAGAATGAAATAATCCCTACTCCCAAGGAGCTTAGATGTTAAGCTGAAACACAGCTGAGTCTCTTTAAACATTAGACACCGTCAACAAATTCACAGAGATCCTTGATTACAATTTTAAAATCTCTCACTTAGAGACTGCACCATACTTTAATGCATCACAATGAATTTAATATGAATCAGTTATGAAATTATAAAAATAACTAGGTGGGGTGGCACAAGGGATGGGAAGGTTTGGGCTTACATCCCACCTCTGAGACATCCTGTCTTTGTGACCTTAGACAAGCCCCTAACCTCTCAGCGCTCTAAGCAACTCCTAACGCTATAAGTGGTAGGGAGAGTTTTGGACTGAGAGCTTCCTATAGTAAGGAAATTACAAAACTAGTTTCTAGCCCATAATTATGAAACTGCATGATTATTATCTTGAGTGGCCCAACTGAGCCTGGGAGGTGACTGTCATTTAAAACTTTAAAAAAGCATACTGATCCAGACTTAAGGTTAAAGTCATCTAGATTCCTGTTGCTGAAGGATTCTAGAAAGAGCACTGTGACAGTTTCTTGTTTGGTCGAACCCTGTAATATACTATTGCCCTGATTTCCCTGGAAAAGACTGACTTCAAAACACACACAAAAAGAGGAGAATCACTCCAGAAGCCAAAAGACCTTTATAGACTGTATGTCTTTGATCAGAGTTGTAAACTAAAACTTAGGCCATTTAGATTAAAAACCAAAAAATAAACAATATTTCGTAATTGTTATTAAGTACTTACAATATGTAAATGCCCAAAGATAATCAGTTTTGAATTAAATCAATGCCAAATTTAAAAAAAAAACCATAAAAATTAAAGTTAAATTTTAAATCAATATTCAGTTTTAGTCAAATTAACTCTTAAATGAAGTAATGGAAATGTTCATGCCTCCTTGACGCCATACTTATGCTCCTTTATTTAAAATATTTTACTGAAATGTTTTAGTGTGATCTTTTGAATCAGATTTCTCGCTCTAAAGAGGCAGCAATTAAGTTTTTAATTTCATTTTTTTCTTTAATTTCAAAGATACCTAAAATAAATTTACTTTGGCATTTAACTATTATTAAAACATTGACAAACAATAAATTTTACATTAAAATATATGCTTCATAAAAAACAGAGTATAAAGTTATTTAGTCTAAAGGTTATGAAAGCAATTTAAACAGGGTCTGTTCTTTGGCCTATAATCTATCCTTTATCCGGATTACAGTTCAAAATGTTTTTACTGCAATCTCTGCTAGAGCTCATCTTTTTCTTGTATAAGTCCAAGCCCCCTTAATGTTTTAGAAAGGCCTTGACTAACTGAACTTTGATCTGATGTCTTCATTGAGAAAAGCTCCAGGTTGCCCATTTCAGATGCAAATCCTCACTAAGGCCCCAAAGAGTTTAGTAAAGACAGCGAAAAAGAAGAAACAAGAAGTTTCCAGGATCCTCTTTGAGAATCCTGGGGCACATTGGTGTCCTTAATCCACGCTGCTGCAGGGATTAAGGTAGGTGATAACCTTTCTCGATTCAAAAGAATAAGTAGAGTGCCAACAAACTGGGTGGAGACTAGGATTTGGCTATAATAAAACACCATGCAATAAAAGCCTGGTCTATGTCAGAAGCCTCTGAATAGGCCTCAATGTACCACATTCCCAGGCCTAGTGGGGAAGCTTGCAAAAGCCTACCTGAATCAAGTAAGCATGAATAATCTGTTTTAGCAGACTGGCCATGGAGAGAGAAAGAAAGGGAGACTTTCTACTTCTTTTAAGTTGGACTTGATAAATTTATTAGTGGACTGAGGCTTCCTGGAGTCCTATGAGTGAGCGGGTACAGAAAGAAATGAACTAAATTATCAGTGAACAAAGTATTCTTTTAGGCCACCACTAATTATTAGTATTTCTAATTATAATACTGATGAGACAGAAAACTCATTTGGGGAATGAATAATGGCAGAAAATTAATTTCATGTGACAGTTTATTTACTGACCAAGAATAAAAATAGTTCATCAAAAAATGAAAATAAATCTGTATATCTTTTTGGTTTCATTTAGCTCACTATTTTTAGTTAGGAATTAAAAATTAGTTTGGAATGAACAAATATAGCTTACAGATAGACAATTGGATAATGAGAAACAATTATAACTCTTGAAATCTTTTATAGGAAAAAATCCAAGAACAAAGATTGCCCACCTCATACGCCTCCATAAAAGTAATTTATGGAAATGAATTAATGTATATCTAAACAGATTTCTGAATCCCTTTAAGACTTTTAGGAGTACTAATAAAGAACAAACAATTTCATCTAAAAAAAAAAAAAACCCTGCCCAAATTAAGGTCCATATGAAAAAGAATCCACTTATTCTCATTTACTTAAAAATAAATCCATTTTAAGTCATCATGGTCAAATCACTTTACCACTCCAGGCCTCAGTCTCTGCATCGACACAAAGACGGGGCTCCAAGGATATGATCTCTAAAGTCTTTCAGCTCTAGATCAGGGGTTCTTAAGTTTTTCGTTTGTCATGCAGAGAGCCTCAGGGTACAGACTGAGTCATTTATCAGTCAGTCAATCTATGTTGATTAGTGGCCTAGAATGCGCCAGGCACTGTGCAAAGCACTGCACTCCAGGTACAAAAAATTGGCAAAGGAAAAACTTTGTCCTCAAAGATCTCACAATCTACTGGGAGAGAGACAACAAGCAAACAAATAGGTACAACAGGATAAATAGGAAAATTTGTTGTTCAGTCATGACCAATTCTTCCCATCTGGGGCTTTCTTGGCAAGGATACTGGAGTGTTTGCCATTTTCTTCTCCAACTCATTTTACAGATGACGAAACTGAGGCAAACAGGGTGAAGTGACTTGCCCAGGGTCATACAGCTACTAAGTGTCTGAGGCCAGATTTACACTGAAGTCTTCCTCACTCCAGACCTGATGTCCTCTATTCACTGTGCCACCTACATGTCCCAAAATAGGAAAATTGGAAATATTTGAAATAAGGAAGGTACTAGAATTAAGAGGGGTTGGAAAAGGCTTCCTTTAGAAAATGGGATTTTAGTTGAAACTGGAAGCCAGTTTGGTGGAGATAAGGAGGGAAAATTGCAGGCATGGAGGACATCCAGAGAAAATGTCTGGAGCTGAGAAATGCAGTGTCTTGTAGGTGGAATGGCCAGGAGGCCAGTGTTACTAGATGGAAGAGTACATGGTATGGAGTAAGAAATAACAAGACTGAAATCGGAGGATAGGGCTAGGTGATGAAGGGCTTTGAATATCAAGCACAGGATTTTGTATTTGATCCTGGAAGTAATAGGAAGTCACTGGACCTTATGGAGTAGGAAGGTGACATGGCTGGGCATGGGCTTTAGGAAAATCACTATGGGGAATGGACTGGAGTGGGGAGAGCCTTGAGGAAGGCAGACTAACCAGTAGGAGATTGCAATAGTCCAGGTGGGAAGTGATGAGGGTCTGCAACAGAGTGGCAGCAGTATCAGAGGCAAGAAGGGGGTGTATTAAAGAAGGGAGTGTATTAGAGAGATATTGCAAAGGTGAAATTGACAGACCTTGCCAACTGATTGGATATGGGGGGTAAGAGATAGTGAGGAGATGAGGAAGACACTGAGGTTATGACATGTAGGTTGCAAACCTGAGAGACTAGGAGAATGATGTTACCTTCTACTGTAATAGGGTAGCAGGAAGAGGGGAGGGTTTAGAGGGAAAAGCTAATGAATTCCATTTTGGACATGTTGAATTTAAGATGTCCATTCGACATTTGAGATGTCTGAAAGGCAGTTGGAGATGTGAGACTGGAGATCAGGAGAGAGGTTAAGAAAGGATAGGTAGATCTTCGAGATGGTAATTAAAATCATGGGACTTCCCTCCACTGCAAGGGAGATGTGGAAAGGAACCAAAAAAGAAAAAAAAAAAGCCAACAAAAAAACCCCAACCCCAAAACCAAAACAACCTCTTTGTATCACAGACCCCCATATCCCTTTGGCAGTCTGATGAAACCTACGGACCCTTTCTTGAACATTTTTAAATTCATAAAATAAATTATGTAGGATTACAAAAGAAACCAATTATATTGAAATATGTTTATCAAAATATTTTTTTAAAGAACAAGTTCATGGACTGTAGGCTAAGAACCCTGTGATCAGATTATTTCCTTTATGTGCCTCCTGCCACTATGTTAGAAAAGACAGTCATTATTACTGCTCTGGACAGACTGCAATAGCCTCCTAACAAGTCTTTCTTCCTTTGCTTTTTTCCCCACTCCAATCTATTTTTCATCCATAAAAATATCTTTCTCAGCAGGACAAAAGTCTTCAGTGCCTTTCCATTACGTGACTCAAGTTTGACCTCTTTTGTCTGGCATCTGAAGCCCTCCAAAATCTTTTGCCACCCTATCTGCCCACCCTTAATCTCCAATTACTCTCCTCTAGGCTCTAGAAAAAGTTAATTACTCTCTATACTTTGACTAGACCCTTCATTTTTTTGCCTCCCTGCACAGATTCAACGCCTAGAATGGACTTCCTCTTCTTTCTCTAGCTTTTGGATTTCTCTTCATTCTTTGAGTCCCAACTCAAATGGCCTTTCCTCAATGAAATCTCCCCTAATTCCTAGTCACTCATCAATTGATCATGGTGCTCCCCCTTGGATCTTACAAGACACCCTATCTCACAATCTAATGCACTGACTATGAAAGAATTTATTCTGGCCATCTCTGTTTCTGTCTTCTTCTCCTAGTAGACACTCAACTCCCAAAGCCTCACACTACATTTCTCTCAGTGTCAGGCACAGTGATCCCCTCTAACTGGCACAAAATATTTCTCAGATGAGCAATATAAAAAAAAAAACTCATTAGCTGATGAATATTACTAGTGAAAATTTTTACGGGTTTGTATAGGTCCAGTTTTGCATTGTGAGAACTATTGCCCCATGGTCCACAGACTGATTCACTGCAGTCACTATACCCTTCTCTACATTACTGGTTAGAGTGAAATAGTTTATAAATGGTCAACATTACCTCTTAACAGAAAAACAACTTCTCCCCCCACCCAATACTGATGGTGGATAAACGAGTCATCTTTGTATGCAGAAAATTAGCAAGTTATAAAAAATATTAAGAAATCACACGGAAAGCTTTCATTGACAACACATTCATAATGTACTGTACAATATGATTACTCTTTTCAATCATTCAGACTATACCAGTCTGAAACTTTTAATAGCTATGGCCACAAATGTTTGCTGAATTCATTCACAATTCACAAATTTCACCCTAGTAACTAAGTTTGACAAGCTAGTCCAGTCACCAAAGCTGGAGGCAGCATTCGAAATGGTCAGTGTCTCCAAGTCAGGTATCCTGTCTCCCATGCGGGCACCCAACACTGAGAAACCTGCATCTCCATGCTTCCTTGGGCAGTCCTCGGGCCTGCATGTGGTAGTGTGTGTTGGCTACATGGAAGTAGGTCTCTTTCTTGGTGTTAGGCTCTTTGCTACTGTCAGACTAGTGAGAAGCATCTGAATGGAGGTGTGATAGAAGGTCACTTGGCATGCTGGTGAGCTATCCAGGATTAACTACATTGTGAACAGTGGAAGGAAGCTCTCTGCCCTCCAAGGCAACAGCTCAGGAGTGCTGTAGTTATAGTTCCTATGTTGTATGATAATAGGGCTGTGATCTTTGTCAGAGGGAAGAATATACATGTGGATGAAATGACAGATCCTGGAAATACATACATGTTTTAAGTTGATTCTATACATAAAAGGCACTTCCTAGATGCTTGTGGCAATGACCTGAACATGGAAGTAACCCTAGTTTTTCAAAGATTATGCTCATGGAATAACAACAACAATAACTACTAATATTTGTATAGTGCTCTCAGGTTACAAGGCACTTTACAAATATCTGATATCATTCTCACAACTCCAGGAGCGGTGCTGCCATTATCCCCATTTTACAGTTGAGGAAACTGAGGCAAAGAGTGACTTGTCCATGGTTCCACAGCCAGTAAGTGTCCAAGGCTGGATTTGAATTCCAGTCTTCCTGACTCTGTCTAAGTCCAATGCTCTCTGCCCTGTGCCACCTAACTATAGCAGGTCTAAGCAAGCTGGGTAGGCTTTGGTTGCAGGTCTGGCATTGGGTCGTGTGTCTGCTTTCAAGGATTAGTCTAGACAGTTTTGGTGTGGCTTCTCCCAGTCGGCTCACCACCAGGAGAGAAGAGATTTTTTTTTTTTTGGTCATAGCAACTAATGAATACGATCTAATGTGAGGAAGAGGGGCCACAACCTACATGGGTAAAGTACCTGCACCACTGAATCAGGCCTCTTTGGAACTAATAAAGAAGGACCTGCTCTTGGCACACAAAGGCAAAGGTACAGCTGAGTTGACAAATGATCTCATTTTAGCTTTGGCAAGGCAGTCAGAACAATTCCAAGCACAATCACCTCCTCCCACCCTGGTGGAGGCAGGCCAGGAGTGCAATGACCAGCACTGCCTCCTAGATCTGGCATTGACGTGCCCTCCCCCTGCTCTCTCTCCTCCCAAGAAGCAACTGCAGGAGAGATGCAGACCTCCTTGACCTTGACATTTTCAGGAGCCAGAGCTTTGACAGACCCCTAAAAGAAAGTTTTTGCTACAAAGTCCTTAGCACCAAAATGCTTGGTGTTGTCAAATGATTCAATGTCAGAAACAAATTATAGTCTTAGCAATCAAGATGATACTGAAGAAGATGTGTTGGAAAAAAAAAAGAAGATGTGTTGGTACATCAATGTATGTATTTATGAACAACGGGACTATTGGCCATCTGGACCAGCTGGTCTTATCATATGGAGCACTGGATTCATCTAACTGCCCTGTGGCTGAACCTTTCTATATATGCTGTATCCCCCTATTTTAAAGTGAGGTCCTTGAGAGCAGGGGCTTTCCTGCTATACTATTTATATCCTCAGTACTGAGTATAGGAAGAATTAACCTGGGGTCCTAAGAAAGATTTCAAAGGGTCCATGAATGTGAATGGGAAAAACACTCTATCTTAGTTTTCGTTAACTTCTAACTAAAATCTGGCAATTCCTTCAATTACGAATGTAGGTAATAAAGCATAGTAGCATTATTAGTAAGCATGACTTCACCAACAGAAATCACACGTTTTCATATCACACCGTAGTTGTTACAGATATCACAACATATTGCTTAAGCACATCACTACTTAGTCGTCAGACTTGCTGCTAGGTCACACGTGATCTGTCATACTGTGCAGTGATGCTCATATGACACAGTGGGCCAATTATTAGGGTCCACAGGCTTTACCAGGACGCCAAAGGAGTCCATGACACAATAAAGGTTAAGAATCTCTGACTTAGCTTAATGCTTTGTACATAGGAAGTACTTAATAAATGCTTTCTCATTCATTCATACATTTATTCACCTACCTTGTATTTTCCAAAGTTTTTCTTATGGCAACTCTGAGAGAACATGAATGACTATGTACTCTTTACATTTATAATTTATTTATTTGAATGAATTCAGCAAACATTTATTAAATTCATATTACTTATAATGCTTCAGCTATTTGGAATCCTCAAGGAATCAATAACTGAGGATATTTATATCTTGTACATAAAGAATATTTTACTTGTTTAAAGCAACAAAACTTCTAAAATTCTGGATAAAAGTATTTCAAAAATAAATTGCAGACTTCTCTAACTTCTTAAATAGAGCAAACTGAATAATTCATCATCACAAATAAACATTCATTCATTTAAATAATAAGTAAAATAAATTAAATAAGTAAATAAATTTGTACAGGTATAGGAAAATTTTATACATATGTTGAGTTACCTCCATTTTGGGTAAGTTTTGATAACGCCAGGCTATCTTCATGGAAATATCTGGCTCTCCTTGTGATTTACGACTACTTACATCATCAAGCTCTTTTCTATACTTATCATCATGTAATGGTTCAGGAAGTTCCTAATAAAGGAGAATAACATGTTATTAGAGAATATGTTATTAAAAATTATGATGATCACTAGGATTTTCCAAAGAACTAAGAGTTGTTGTCCCAACTAACAAAAACACAAAGCTATGCCAACATATGCAATTCTGAAATACAGAATGATTGAAGTTAATTTCCCAACTAACTAGAGCTTAAGGCAAATTAATATCCAGAAACCACACAGAACCTTTCTGCTTTTTTAGACTACTCCAGATATTCTTAGCCTTATATTTGCTTATACTTCAGATATTTGCAACTTTGCTACTATTCTAAGAGGCAGATATGGCTTTTTTTATTTCTATGTTTTAATCAAAGCTTAGAATTATAATTTACATATTTCTAATTACAGTTAACGTTTGCCATGAAGTAAAAATAAAACATGTGCACAATGTGTTAACTGGTTTGTAATTCTATTTCATTGAAATAACAAAGTGAAATAACCACGATTAAAATAAAGACATTCATCTATCCTGTAACAAATGTCACTTTTGTACCTGCAAGTTTTTGTTTCCCACTTCAACAATGAAAACAAAATCTCAAATCCTCAACATAACAAAAACCATCCAACTTCTATTCTAGGTACCCTTTGGCGGGGGGAGAAGGGGTGAGGAGAAGGAATGACAGTTTGCCTTTTAAATTACTACTACTAATAATAATATTAATAAAAAAATAAGAGCAACAATAATAATAGCTAACATTTATATAGGTCCTACTATGTGCCAGGCACTGTGCTGAGCACTTTACAATTATCTCATTTTTTCTTTACAACAACCCTGGGAGATAGGTGCTATTATCCCTATTTTACAGATGAAGAAACTGAGTCAAACAAAGCTTAAGTGACTTGCCTAGGGTCATTCAGCTACTAAACATCTGAGGCTGAATTCAAACCTAACCCCAAGCCCAGTCCTCCAACCACTGCACCACCAGCAATGACTGTTCTACATGATACTCTCAAGAGAGGGTATGGGGCAAATAATGCAATGTGTAGAGTACGGTAAATTCCACGGAAGAGAGAAAATACTTTGATGGTTTTGGTTTATTTTTGATGTAGCAGAATCAGAAAGTGTAACTTGGCAATGTATTAGACACATGGTCATGTTGTACATCAGTATCTTTGTTCCCAAAGTTGACCACTGCATACTTACATTAGATAGCAAATAAATTGTCTGCTGCAGGTATTGATTCACTTCAAGTGACCTCAAAGTATATTAACTCTACTAAAGTAATTAATAGAAGGAACTAGCTATATTTTTGAAAAATTCCTACCCATAAAATATTTTTGGTTTAGGCATTCAAACAAAACATATGTATGATACAACACATGGAATATAATTTCTTTTTCGATGAACATAAAATTTGAAGGTTCTCAAAAATAAATATAATTATCATATCTGCTGTTCAGGATAATGCATTTTTATGTTTTTTTAAAATTTAATCCATTATTTGTAAAATACAAATTCTATGTTGTTAAAATGTCAACTTAGATTATTAGAAGGCTTCATAATCTCACAGCTATCAGTGCATGCTTATGACAAAATTCACTATTCACCCAACCAAAAAAAACGGAATTCACCTACACATTTTGGCTATTAGAGAAAAGATTTAGGATTTCTTCCGCTACCATTCTCAAGTTTTTATTTGACTGTTTCTTCCTCTTTACAAATATCTCATGGTAAATTAGAAATTTTACTCTATTAGTTTATTTGTGATTAAGGAGAAGGCTCTATAATCATTCTTAAATGAAACCTTTTCTTAATATGACTGTAATTCTCATTAATGTCAGATAACATACTAAGAGAACATGATGAAATTACCCAATCTTTTCCTACAATTAGAAATTTTTCTTGATTTAAAATTTTATGAAACCTTATTAAGAGCAGAAAATTTGTACTCTTTCAAAACTCTTTCATGTACTTCAATCCTTTGATAGAATATAATGTTAATAACATCAACTAATCCAAACTAATATGGATGAAATAGGTTTTTAATAATTAGTCCTTTCTGCTGCATATCTGAAGGTAGGGACGGAAAGGTTCAAATAGGTTAGAGTACTCTAAAGCCAAACACTATATTTTCCTCTGATTTGACAAGGTTGATATGATTGTTACATGGAAAATCATTCTAATTTACCTTATTGAATTATTAGTTTCCTTGAAAAGCCACTGAATATTTTTGCAACCTTTTTGTTTAAATTAGTTTCATATAATTACTTTTTTTCACAAAATAATTTTGTCTTTCCATTCCACCTAATGGGAATTTGATAGATGAAGCCATATCATAATTCCCATTAAGTGGTATTAGTAGATTGCTAAGAGTACAAAGTATGTTACTTTTGTCCAAGTAATAACTATTATAGAGCTACTCAACATTAATTTTACAGAAGATAGTTGCAACTCAGCACAGGCTATATTACCTGCTTCTTCCAGGTTATATACATAACTTTCTTTGTGCAGGACAGGTTCAGTCATAGATAATTCTATCCTGATACTGTTTTTTGGACTCCATCATTTTCCAAGTAACTTCCCTCCCAACCCCGTTTCCAGTTTGTAGAAATGGTAGAAGAATGAGCAACCAACGACATATATGGTAAAGATGTCTTAGTGTTCTGTTTTTAATTTTTTTCTTTTGAGGGAATTCTCACCTTTAATCTACTGCTGCCAAACAATGATGGGAAATAACAGAGAATTACTAATCTACCACCTCATGGTGTTCTTGATAAATGTATCTTCTCTTGTCTCTGAGATACTAAGACAAAGGCTTCTCCCTCAGTTTATAATGCTCACCTACACTGATCCCTGTATGCATGATGTCTTCTGGCATCAAGAAAAAAAGCTGTAGAATTAAATGGCTTATGAGAAAAAAAAAATTGCTCAAAATACTGTTTTAAACTTGGATGGCCATACTACCCACAATACTTACACTGGACAGAACCTATCCCCTGTCTCCAAACAAGGCCTCAAGATCACAAAAACAGAATGATAATTTTAATATATAAGATTATTGAAAAAAGAAAGTGAACAGAAAATTTTGCTATTTAAAGAGTTTAACCTAAGGAGGAAATCACATTAAATTTTCACAAACTAGTTACATATTGAAACACCTATAATTTAAACTGTTATTCTCAGTTGGGAGACTTTTAGGTAATACCTGAAATACTTTTACGGCATGTGTTATCTTTGCTAATCTCAAAAACACAATGGAAATGAGTGCTACTCACAAACCATTGTTTAGGAAGAGATGGTAAATCCTATCTTTGAATTCCTCTAACTCATTAAGCTGCCCATTGTCCAGGGGTTTTCAAAACTCAAACCACAACTGTCAAACTGCAGTATCATCACTTAACAAATGTGTCATCTCAAATATTTCCAGAAGGCAACTTAGTTTATAATATTATTACAAGATAATACATTTTAGACTTTAAGGTGCCTTGGAAAGACATCAATGAAACTTTTAAAAAAAAAAGACTCCTGTGTCTGTTCTCCCAAGTGGAAGGTGTGTGTGTGTGTGTGTGTGTGTATACATATACGCATGCGTTCACATGTGTGAGAATATTTTAAAAAACTCATGTCAGAGGGAAATGAGACTACATCAATCCTGCAGGGTTGGTGCATTTTTCTACTTCAAAACATACTGAAAGACAAGAATCATACAGAAATAGAGTAATAATACTCTTTGGAAATTAAGATGCCAAGAAAAAGGAACAATGGGATTCATCCTGCGATAATTATCTGACCAAATATAAAAACGGCATCTATTCTTCCCAACTCAAGGAAGATGGCCTTGGCTTTTGTCATCTGAGCACCAAGATCCTCAGGGGGAAACAAAGGGAATGACAAATAACAGGATAGCCTAGGCACAAAGAGAATCATACAACAAAACAGGCTAAACAAACTGAAGTCAAACAGAATCTGCTCAGCCCTAAATGAGGGACAGAGCCAGCTTAGGGCAATAGTCTTGGTATGAGGCTCCCTGTTCAAATCCCGGCCCCACGATTGCCTACTAGGCCTACGCAGTCACTTCCCCTCTCTCACTTTAGTTCTCTCAACTCTGAAATGAGGGAATTGGATTAGATGACCTTCAGGTCCTTTCCAGACGTAACTCTAGGACCATGAAAATAAAACCCAGTCGAGGATAGCTTATTTAATACCAGTCCTCTTTAATATGAACAGATCTCTTCCTAAATCCAATATAACTTTTTTGTTTTGTTGTGTTTTTGCTTTTTAATCTTATAAGTAAATGCCATCAAAAATCCTTTGGCGATGGATTTTTTATTATTTCTGTCTTTAGATACCTCAACATTTATCTACCCCACAGGGCTGTTCTGTGGCACACAACACAACACAGGTTGTTCGTTATTATTTTTCATTTTTCTAATACCTTTTGATAGATTTCTGGTAGAAATGGCACTGGGACAATTTGCTGTCTTGTTATTACTCTTACACATTTAATATTCTAAGGACTGCTGCACAGATGGATAAAATAAGTGCTCGTTATTACTAAATACAGGGATTAGGATATAAAATCACCTTCTGTAAGTCTACTAAAATAATTTTTGAGGCAACTCTGTAAGCAGATAGGCCAATGGTTTTCTTTTCTTCCATCATATTTCTACATTTTGGAAGTTGGTTTGATGATAGCCACTGAAAACAATGTTCTTAAATATTAATCGTCAGAGTTATGGTCAGGGGGCTGTAAGTAATCATTTCGTATTGGTTTTGATTTGTTTTATGATAGTGTTTGCTGTGGTGGTTCTTGCTAATGGGCTATGACCCAAGAGTTCAACACCAAGAAGTCAGGCTACTTTTCACAATATGGTCTGTTGCTGAGATGGTACTTGGAAGTCTTCCCAACACTGTAGACTCTACCAGTGCTTGCATTCCATTGGAGTCCTCTTCAAAAATGGTAGGTCATACCCATGCCATGAGGAGGAAGCAGGGCAGGACTTTATTCTTGCTCATTTTAGATATTTTTTTCA